GAAGGGAAGTAAAAGAAAAGGCAGGAAGAAGTATTACGGAAGCAGTAGTAGTTCAAGTTCAGATAGCAGTGATGAGGATAGTTCAAGCTCAGGGGAAGAAAGTGAGGTGGAAATCAAGAAGAAGAAAAAGAGTAAGAAGGGAAGGAAGAAAGTTGTCAAAATTGAACCGCAAGATTTGGAATTACGGTTTAGTCGTGGCGATGATGTTCAGAAATTCTTACGGGATTTTGAGGTTGCTGCAGATGTGGATGGAGCAAGTGGTGTTGATATGGCAATGCAAGTTTGTGCCTTTGTAAATGGAAAAGATTTGAAAGAGGAAATCAAGGAGCTGAAGGGTTGGGGTGAAGGAGAATGGGATTGGAAATTATTGAAGACGGAAATGAAGGATTGTTATGCATCAATAAGGGAGGCGCCTAAGTACACGGTGGAAGATTTGAAGGAGTTGGCTTTAGATTCTGAAAGCAATGGTGGTATTGATTCCAAGTTGGAATTTGAGGGTTTTAGACATAAGTTTGATAGTATACTGGTCTATCTCAAGAAGTATGATTACATTGACTCTGAGGATGAGATATGCAACTACTATTACAGAGCATTCTCAGATGGCATGCAAAAGAAGATCAAGGAGAAGCTACGTAGTGATGGAAATTTAAGAAGGACAAGGGATGGAAGGCACCGGCTGCCTGGATGGAAGGTGCTTAAGAAGACAATTCATATGGTATTACAAGAAGAGGTCGAATTAGTGTTTGAGGAGTTACGAGGAAAGAAGGATGAAGAACTTAAGGAGAAGGTTGTACAAAAGGACAAGGAGAGGCGGGGACTGAAAATGGAGGGATTGAATAGGAAGATTGGTGGACAGTTGGCGGATGAAGCAACTATCAGTGAATTGGTTCGACAGTTTGCTGCATGGACTGGGCGAGGATTAAATAGACCTTTGGTTACAAGCCAGGATAATCATGTTCATAAAGGTTTCCAGAACAACTCTTACTCTGGGCAAGATAACTCCGGACCCCCAGCTCAAAATCAAGACCCAGCACCTCAATTCAACTCTTCAACTTATTTTAGAGGAGGCCAACAAGGAGGACAGAACTTCAACAATAATGGTTCTGGTCAGAATAATCAAAATGGCGGTCAATATTCCAACTTTGGAATGAATAGAGGAAGAGGAGGATATGGTGGAAACAGAGGAGGATACAGTGGAAATCAAGGAAGAGGAGGTCATAAATCAAATTATCAATGGAACAATTCGGCGGGACAATTCCAACAAAACAATGGCAATCAACAGCCATCAAGCGGTTCTTACAGACCTCCACCACCCAACAATGGGCCTCCACGAGGAGAGTTTCGGGAGAAGGTCTTTAGAGATGGGCCAATCATGTGCTATTATTGTGGCAAGGAAGGACATGGTCATAATAGGTGCCTAGACAAGCAAAGGGATATTCATGACGGATTTGTTACAGAACATGACAATAGTTATATCCTGTCAAACGGCCAAGTAGTTGGATGGGATAGTAGTAGACCTATCAGGACTGTAGTTGCTGATCACTCTCTTCAAGTTATGCAAGCTACAAACTCCTTCCTCAATGGAGGATCTACTCACACTCAAGCTGAAACTCCACCAGTAAAGGAACCAGATAAATTAGCTGTAACAGGAATCTTGACTACGGAGACAAGTAGGGACCCTCAAATCCGGGAATTAAGAGCTAATTGTGCGGTATTAGAGGAGTGGAAGGCACCAGGTATTACTAGGAGAGGATTCAAGGCCGCTATGGCGGGAGCAGGTACAAAAATTTATGATGTAGAAGTTAAAAGAGGAAGAGGAAAAGCTGACCCCGTTGAAGCCCCAAAGAAGAAGAAAGTGTCAATCCAACAAGACAATGTAGAAGTAGAAGAAGAAATCATGAAATTAGAGGAGCATGTAGAAGAATATGATAGTAGTGATGACATACCATTAGCTGAATTGAAACAAAGGAAGACAGTGGAACAAAAGAAGAAGGCAACTGTGATGGCTCCAAGAGTTACAAAGCAGGATATAGTTAGAGGTAGATTTGAAAGGCCGGTGGAAAGGGGTTATGAAGGAGGAATGAATAAAGTAGTAGATAAAATCATGAAGACTAAAATTGAGGCAGAGGTGGGAGAGTTGTGTGCTATTTCACCAGCACTGGCCGAGAATGTCAAGAAACAAGTTTCAAAACGGCGGGTGATCATACCTAGAATCATCAAACCTTTAAAAGTGGCTACTGGAAGTCTGGAGGATGATGGTTCAACTAGCGGAAGTGAAAGTGAAGATGAAGATGTTTTATATTCACGTCCTTTGGGGTACTTAGACATTATGTTGGGAGGGAAGAAGAAGAGAGTGAAGGCCTTGGTGGATTCTGGATCTCAAATCAATATTATACCAGAGTCAGTGGCGGGAGAACTGGGATTGAAGGGGCTGATATCTATCAATTCTGGTGTTAAGGGTATAGGTGGTCAAAGAACTGAGTTGATTGGCATTGGAGAAGCAGTAGACGTAGTAGTTGGCACCAGGGTTCAAGGTGTGGCACATTTTTGGGTAGCTAAAGAAAGTAAATGTCCAATTTTACTAGGACGGCCATTTCTTACGGATTTTAGAGCACAAATTGAATTTGGGAAGGCAATAGGGGAAAGGTTGACTTTGCGGGATGAGAGGGGAATATGGACTCGGTTCACAGTTTGTAATCCTGATGAGGGCAATTGGGAAAGGGAATTGAATTTAGAAGAGAAGAGGACAACATTGTTGGAAGTGCAGCTGGCAAAATTAGAGCAGGAGGTGCAAGGTGAAAATAGTAGTGCAGTTCCAGATTATGTGGAGAATTTTTACGGTGAAGGGTTATCAAGGTTATAAGGAGTGTTGGTGAAGCAACGGGCATTCAGTATATAAAAAATCCAAGTAACCTTGAATGTCTATCACCAACTAGTAGTTAATATGGGGACTTGGTGGTGTATATAGAATAAATTTGGTGCTTAATTTCAAATCAGTGTTCTTAATCTCAATTTTAGTTTTGTCAAAGTTTTGTTCTTTTTTTTTCAGTGTTTTCTTCTTTTCTTTTTTTATCAGTTTCTTTTTCTTTCTTTTTCTTTCTTTCTTTTCAAGTCAGCGGTGTGGGATAGGTAGTTGAGGATGGAGGAAGTTGGCAGGAATGGATAGTTATAGTTATTACAATTAAACAACAAAAAGTGGTGGGTAGGGGCGGGCACAAACAGTTAAATCACAAAATTCAACATTCAAATCAATCAAAATTGAATTGGTATACTACTTTAAAAATCAAAATTACTCCAGTACATGGGGCGTGTTACGTTTTTTCTTTATTACGGTCTTCTAACTTTATCTTTACTTAAATCAGACAACATCAATAGCAGGGGGCACGGGCTGGGTACTAGTTACATACAACAACAATTAGTCAAAATCAAAATTACAAACATCAAAAATGGATTACTGCTATAAGACCTATTTCTCTAAATTTCTTTCTTCTGATATTATTATGTTTCAAAATTAATTTCAAATTCAAGTTTTTATTCTCTTTTCTTCTCTTATGGCGGTTGGAAATGGGCAGTTGAGGATGGAGGATAGTTGGCATGAACAGATAGTTAAACATAAGTACATTAACAACACAACTGAATTATAAGTCAAATAACAAAAATTACGTACAAAATTATTACGATACTCAAACAATGAATCAAAATAGTCAAATTAAAATCATTATCATCAATATAAAATCAAGTCAGAGTTATGGATATGTTTCTTTTTTCTTTTGGGGACGGGACAGGTTTGTTGAGGATGGAGGACTAGATGGCTGGTAGGATAGTTAAAACAATAATTACATGTGTAGTAGGGGGACTGCAGTGGGACAAATCAATTGATAAAATCATAAGTCAAACTAAACAAATAAATGGATTACTACTACATATAAAATTTCAATTAAATTTACAAGTTACAACCTTTAAAATTACATATATTAAATTATCAAGAGTTATCAATTAGTGAAGTGTTATGGATATGTTTCTGCTTCTTCTTTTGGGGACGGGTTAGGATTGACGAGGATGGCGGAATAGTTGGCAGGTATTGGAATATCAGTGTTATAAACAAATTAAATCGAATTATTATCAAATTAAAACAAATTACAAACAATTCAAGTCTGTAGTAGGGGGTCTGGGGAGAGGCTGCGCATTACAATTAAACAATCAAAGCGGCATAACAATTACAAAATACAATTATAAAATGGTTACTACTACAGCACAATTTTTTCCTTTTCTTTCTTTTCTTTTTCTTATATGGGGGTGTTGGAATGTTGAGGGTGGTGGATACTTTGGATTATACAAACAAAACAATTGAATGATTACTGAAGCAGAAATTTTTATGTTACATATTGAAGACTTTAGTATTGGAGTTCAACACAGAGTGCGCATTTGATTAGGCGGACCAACTTTGGAATTTAGTTAAAACTTACATTTATTGGATACTTAGATATAATTATTTCTTGCGAATTAGTTAAGTTACAGTCGGGACAGAATCCGATGTGCGTGAATTTTTTAGTCAAGGCCTAGATTAGAGGTTACTTGGGATTTTTTACATATATTAGTGAATTATGGGAATAAGAAATTAATATCAAAATATTTCATAAGCTGCGGTTACAATTTTATAAAGAAGTTAGAAGTTTTGTCATATGATCAGGATGTGGAGAGTCTTTTTTACAATAGTTAGAAATAAGTAAGATAAAGGTTACTGTGGAAGTTTTCATTTAAGTTGGGGGAGGTGGCTCAAGAAAGAAAGAAATGCAAAAGGGCACACTCAAGTTGTTCCAATTAAAACTGGTTCTTTTTTTATGCACTATTTTTTCTGAAGAGTTTTCCTACTACAACTATTATTCATAAGATTTTTTTGGTTTTAATGATTTGACGGGAAAAATAACAACAAGGGGCTAATAATGTGCTAGAAGTACAGATAAGAATAGATATTTTTTAGAAAACAACATAAGATAATTTTAATCTTGGTTGAAGGCATGTTTTTTGCCTTTGTCGGAAGAGTTAGAAGGAGTAGTAGTAGAAGAAGGAAGGAAATGTTTGGCTACAAGTCTTTTAAAATTTCTAACAACATTTACACAAGCAGAACTTTCAGCATCAGAGTAAGGGTCATGTTCAGCCCAATGAGCATACAAAGCATCCATCATTGATTTAGTGAGACAGATAGTAGATTCAAAATTAGGAACTTTGGGTTTAGCAGTACCAACTCTTCTTAATTCTTCAACCTCATCCACCTTTTCAACAAACCAAATAGTATCAGAGTCTTTACCAAATCTTTTAACAAAAGCTGCTATAACAATCTAAAGACATATTAATAACAGGGTCATTAACAACAGGGGTCTCTACAGTAGCAGGCTTAGTGGGTTGGTTAGGAACTGGTTGGTCAGGGGGATTGACTGGAGTTGGGGTGTCTAAGATCTCGATGGCGGGGACAGAGGCTTCGCGGGTGGCGCGTGGCGGGTTGTTGGGGGTCTTAGGAGGCTTGGATGAAGGAGGTGAGGTGGGTTTGGGAGGCGGAACATTGGGCTGGATGGGTGTGTTGCCTCGGTTGTTCCAGATGAACAAGTCCTGGCGCCACTTCTCTTGTAACTTGACGTTACGAGGCTTGTCAGGCTTGGAGTCCCAAGAACCAACTCGAATGCGACGAGCCTTGTCGGTTTCGTTTGGGCGACCCGGTATGTAAGGGTTACCTTCGACGACATTAACGAGAATGTCGCCGTTGGCGTCGGTTGGTGGCGGAGTAGGCCAGTCTAAGATGAGCAAGGAACAACAATATAAATAACACATCTAGTGATGAGCCACGAGAGATAAATGACCGTTACGTACCGCAACAGACCTGGCGTCGAGCGCACTGGTCACAAGCGTCGTGAAGCGGGCGGATCAAAGATTCAAATACAATCCAAGTGCACTTGCGACCGGCTTCGAAGCAGGTAGAGCACTCAACGGGATGGGGTGCTGGGTTTAAGTTAATCATCGCGGCTAGAGGAGTGAGAAGGATAAGCGAAGTACAGTAAGGAAAAGGAGAGCATCGTTGATATTGGGACTATATCAATAGGTAAAGATGGGAGACAAACTTGTTGAGGTTTTTTTTATTAAAAGATGAGTAACTAAAAGTTCGATCGAGAAGTTAGTATGGAAGTTGGGGGCTAGAAAGGGTGTGAAAGATAAGTGTAAAGAGCATTAAAAGGCAAACATCAGCATTTAAGTAAAAGAGGCCGAGCATCGATAGGATTAAGAGGAGCGCTATAACACACTAGATTTAAATAAGTTAATCAAGACTGGAAAGATGATGTGCTCTGATCACTGAGTTTCTTGATTCGGGACGAATTTGAAGTTGGGGTAGGATGTGGTGATCAGAACACACCATCACCCTCACCTTTATATACACGAAGAAGGGCTTGAGAAGCTCAAAGTCTTACTTGCTGAGAGCAGATTTCAAGCTCTGAGAAGCTCTGGTCAAGATGATAGTCAACAAAGGTAGCCAGAAAACTTTATTGTGTCATTTCAACTTTCTTAAGTGATATCATACAAAGTCAGACATGATAACAAAGTGATTCAGATAGTTTAAAACAAAGAATGATAACGTGAATATAATACAGATCGAGGATTTGAGCAAAGCAAAGTAAAGGAGTCAAGTCGGAGACAAGACACATTGAGAAAAATACATATCAAAGATAGAAAATTAAAATAACAAAAGGGTATCATCAAGGTAGTGGAGAGCATAAGAGTGAAGTAAACCTTAATAAGGGACGAAAAGCTGGAATCGAGGAGATAAAGTATGGAAATAAAGAGATAGTTGGAGAAGACGAGTTACATACAGAGAAGAGTACAATTCAGAGGTCAGAAGCGGGTGGATCGGAGGTGTGTCTATGAAAGGGATAAGCCAAGACTCACTTTGGTTCAAATTTGAATGAGGGATTTAGATCGAATTCAAAAGATGACATAGGAAGACTGATTTTGGGGAATCTACTTAGAAAAGATAAAGAGAAAAGATGTTAGTAGAGCGTGAAATCAAAAAGCAAATCAGGAATGAACCTACAAGACTCACCTCTTGGCGTGTAAGATCAAGCTTTGAGATTGAAATGACGTGTGATAGGAATCAGTTACGAGATAAGTAGCCGTGATGTGAAAGTTTGAAGGCTGCAGTTGAAAGAGGCTGGGATCGAAGATGGAGAGTTAAACTAGAAGGGGTTGAGAATAAGAAAAGAGAAATGAATTTGAAACGATGAGCGATATAAAGAAAACAGATAAGAGAAGGAAATAAAAACACTTACATATTGATTAAATGATAAATCGGTTTCGAGAACAATCGGTCGGAGGAAAACGTTGAGGTTGGAGATTGAGGCCGCGTAATGAGATGAAACTGAGGAATCAAAAGGTATAAGAAGGGCTGTTCGAAAGGGAATTTTGAGTATCGAATTATTGTGGATGGGATTTTTGTGTCCAATTGTGTGTCTGTTTGTTTGTGTGTGTACGAATCGAGTAGATTCAAATCAAAGTGTACTGTCTTCGTTTTCGTGGTCCTGTTCAGTCGAAGAGAAATCGTTCTCAGTGTGTGCTTTGTGCTAGTAAATCTGTGTGTTCGAGAAGTTCCTATATAAAAAAAATCAAGTGTTAAAATTGTTATCATTGTGAAGGATAACTAGTTATTTGAAGTTGTATTTTGTGCGGAAGAAAAGAGTTAAAAGACTTACTTTGTTTGTTTGTTTTCAAAAGTAGTTAAAAGAATTGTTGTTGTTGTAGTGTTTTTTAAAGATTAGTGGAGGCTGAGCTTGGTCACAATCTAGTCGGGACATTGTAAAAGAATTAGAAGTTTTAAAATCACATCAACAACCCGCCTCTTGATCCAAGTCGAGGCCGGGTCGAGTCGGGGTCAGAAATTCATCCCAGACCTGTACCAGTGTGTTACAACCTTGCGGAAATCAACAAACTTGAGTTTACATATACTACAAACTCGTGAAGAGTTGTGTGTAATAGTGTTAGACTCCGCTCAGTGCTGCGCATCCAACCGTGTGGTGTAAAATAGGTTTCGGGAAACCTTAAAAAGACAAAGAAGTGAGAGTAGAGACACCTCATCTTAAATCTCGAAATCATTTTTGAAGGACGAGGGCAGCTTCACAGCACCTGAGTTTCATCCGGTCTCACGAGTGGTGATTCTTCCCCTCTCCGGCTCAGCCTACGCTACACTGCGTAGGAGTTCTACAACGTGCCTGAAGACACTACTGCGCGCATCAAAGAAGCTAGAAGCACGAGCTCCTGTCAACAAAGCCAATTGCCAACCAGCCCCCCCAAAGCCCTCCTTTCTCTCATCCCCGACATTGCCAAACAAGAGATTGATTTGAAAGTGCTAACCACTTTAGTCCTAGTTGCTTACTGGCGTGTTGCCTGTCTAGGAGAGTTAACAAGCAGATCAAAAGAAAACTCAAGTCATGTACCACTTATTCCCAAAGCAACCAATAAATCCTCATTTGAACAACTCCCTAATTTCCACATAATCCTTCATGTCTTCATTTGTAACAATCTTCAAAACTTTAATTTCTAATAACACTCAAACTAACTCTTCATCTTCATTTTGTAACATTCTTCATGAATTTAAGATGTAATAAAGCTTGATCTTGAAGTTCTAGATAGTCATTGATTAAGTCTTCTACTCAATACCAGAAGTCCTTGACTCAAGAGGGAGAGAAGATTAAGTTGCCACAACAGCCAGTAGGAAGCAACAGTGCCTACAGAAGCTTGCAGAGTACAAGACCTTGGGTGGGTGAGGTTGAGGTTGTGTCAAATATTGTTGAACTCATGTATGAGTCTGCGCCTGTTATATCCTTTGATAGTAACTGGATTTGATTTCCTGGTGTGCCTTACAATAAGCTGAAGTATCTATGATGGCATCATCAAGCTCCTTGTGTCATTGTTAAATCTGATTGATTTGAAATTGAGTCTTGATGGGAAGTGACATGAATTTTGATCCTCTTGCAAGACTGAGTGAGAATGTTAAATCCAGATCATTTGTATCAGAGATGCTTGAATCAAAATTCAAGAGTGATTCAGCCAATTGGCTTTGTTGTCCAGGATAGATGATGGGTTTAAATCAGAGTCAGAATTGGGGAGAGACAAGTTGATTCAGAGGCTGAATTGATATTGCTACATAGATTTAGCCAAGGCTTGGGGGTTCAACTTGAACTTACTTTCTGTGATATTCAAACAATTGGTGTTGATGAGGATTATGACCCTCTTGGGCCTCATTTGGTCTTGCTTGAGGCATAGGTGGTATTGATTGCTCTCCAAGTGATGAGTGATCACAGCTATGTACATTGACTGCCACTTTTATTCTCAATATTAAAGATCTTACCTTATCTATATCATTCACAACCCCTAAACAAAAGAAGGATGTTAAGTCTTAAATGAAATCCAAAAAAATAAATAAAAAATTGACAAACCTTTTAGTATTGATATCATCAATCCCACCCACCACTATTATCTTTGCCTTCTTTTGCGTGTTTACCACCACCATCTACCGCTACTACTTCTGCTCCAATTCCTGCTTTGCCCACTATCTTCTTTCCTTTGTTTCTAGGTCTAGGAACAATATTTTTAGATATAAAATTCTCTTTCCTAACCTCATCTTGTTCTTCATTTATCTTCTGTTTCTTTGGTCTACCCCTTGACTTCTTCACATGTGCTTCTTTATAATCTTCATCTTCTCTGTTCCTTTTATCAAGTCCTACATTATCTTCATCATCATCTGAAGTTATATCTATAGTATTGACTTTTCTTTTTCCTGTCGGTTTAGTTTGATTATCTTTTTGTTTTGTAAAATGCAAGTTGATTGTGCGAGATGATCCAGATGAAGTGGTCGGATTAGGTTCAGAATATGGATTATGAGTATCAACCAAAGGTGGTTGATTTGGTTTAGTAATACATCCACTAATCAAAATCCATCCATCATTGGGGATCATTCGATTTAAATCAATGCCTGTTTGTTCTTCTTCAAGATCTGAATCTAGTCCAACTTTGTCACTTTGATTTGTCTTCTATTGTTCAATGAACAAATTCAAATCAGATCAGTTACACATCTTCTTGAATCTAGAAAGGTTTGATGGAAATACACTTACTGATTGAATTTGAGTGGATGTAGGTTTTTTAGACCTATTAAGTGGTTTCATAAGCACTTTGACCTTTTTAGATCTCTTTACGCTTTCACCTGAAATCTAATTGGTGTTAATCGTGTTTGAAGAATCTAATGATGAATCCAAATGTTTGCTTGAAACTTGACGTGGATTTTTTAGTTCTCTATCAAGTGTTCTGATTTGCTCTTCCAATTCACTGACTTTTGAAGATGATTTATTTAATTTTGTTAAAGTTGATTGATATTTTTTATTTAAATTTCTTCCAACAAAACAAAGCTGTGAGGTAAAGGGAATCAGTATAACAAAATTCTTTAATTGAAATTGAGATAATCCAAAAGCTTACTGATGAGTATGAGAAAGTGATTGGTTCTCAGTTACAAGTTTTTCAAAATTCACCATTGAAATACCCAATTCTTCTATCAAATTTTGATTTTGATTTTCTGAATTCATTAAATCGATCTTCAATTTTTCTACTTCAGTTTCATACAAATTGGATTTTTCTTCCATTTTTTCATCTAAAGGCAATTGCTTTCTTAATTTACTGATTTCAAATTCCAATGAATTTAATTTGATCTGATATTCTGATTTATCAATCTCAAAAGATGTTTTCATTCTAGCTTTTTCTCTTCTTTCAGTATCCAATAAAGATTTTAATTCAGTCCCTCTTCTTGCCCATTCTTTATCTTTGATATTTAATTCAGTTACTTGTGTTAATAATCGTTGTTTGTGTAAAGTCACATTAGATGAAGTTCTCAAAAGGACCTTGACCATCCTTTCAAAGTCTTTTTCTTCTTCATTTAATCTTGATTTTAATAAATCTTCATTGGCCAATCATAACTTTAATCGTGATTTTAAATCTTGAATTAATATCTTACATTTATCTAAATCATTTTGATCTTCATTTCGATCTTCATCGCTTTCCACTTCAATTTCAGATAAATTTAATTTTTCTTTGAGGTTTTTTGTTTCAATCTCATTCAAAGATAACTGATGCACCAATGTACTGATTTTAGCATTCAATGAATCTCCAAACTTTCAATTGATCAATCTCAAATGATGTTTTTATTAGTTCTTTTTCTTTTCTTTCAACTTGCGATAAGAGTTTCCAGTCAGTTTCTGATTTTGCTAATTCTTCACTTTTAATAATTAATTCAGTTACTTGTGTTAATAATCGTCGGTTGTGTGAGTTGGTATTGGATTGAGTTTTCAAAGTGATTTCCATCTTCCTTTCATAATCTTGATTTTAATGAATCTTGATCTGTCAATGATAACTTTAATTGTTCTAAATTTTGAAATAATGTATCAGATGAGTTACTATCCAGAACTGGTCCAAGAGGTACCATTGATGAACAAGTTGATATACAAATACTGATGATGAGAAAACAAGTCTTGAATATTGGTCAAAAGCAATACTTTTTAGATGGTATTGATGAAGTCAGGGTTGAGTTTCTTAGATGATAAATTGTCTTGAATGTTTTGAATGAAGTTGAGTTTTGATTCGATTTGATTGACTTGATTTATTTGATCTGATGATGATGATGATGATCTAGAATAGTCTTGGTGAAGTCAAGGTTGTTGAGGATTGATTTGAGTGATCAATTGATTGGTTGAATTTTCTTTTCAAATCTTTTTAAAAAAACTTGAATCATATGTAAATCTCAATCTTGCAACAATACATCAATTGTATGTAAATCACACTCGGGTCTACCAAAGCAGAGACCTGTGGTCTCCACCACTCGTTTTTTACAAATCAAATCAAAAAGAACAAATCAAAAAAATAAATCAAAAAAGACAAATCAAAAAAGACAAATCAAAAAAAATCACAACAAATCAAATAACAAAAATAAAAAATAAAATAAAATCAAAAAAAATAAAAAAAATAAAATAAAATCAAAAAAAATCAAATCAAATCAAAAAGAACAAATCAAAAAAACAAATCAAAAAAGACAAATCAAAAAAATAAAATCAAAAAAATAAAATCAAAAAAATAAAATCAAAAAAATAAATCAAAAAAGACAAATCAAAAAAAACAAATCAAAAAAGACAAATCAAAAAAAACACAACAAATCAAATAACAAAAATAAAAAAGAAATAAAAAAATAAAATAAAAATAAAAAAAATAAAATCAAATCAAAAAAAATAAAAAATAAAATCAAATCAAAAAAAATCAAATTGAATCAAAAAAAATCAAATCAAATAAAAAAAAATAAAAAAAAATAAAAAAAATAAAAAAAAATCACAAAAAATCAAATCCAAAAAAAACATATGGCTTCATTGCAAAAGATTATTGGGAAGACTTGTATGTGTATGTTAACTCACTTCCTCTTTTCATTTTTCATATTTTCTCCTGACTGGGCTTTTGGGTTCCGACTCTTACTTCTGTAGTCATCCAGTCTCTCGTCTCTGCTATCCTTTCTGTCATAATATCTTGGAGATCTATCTTGTGGTGGTGGTGATTGTGAGCGATGGGAGCGACTAGGGTACCATCCGTCTTCTCCGCCACGGTGTCGACTGCCTGATTCTCCTTTGTCATTTCGGGCATAATGGCAATCATGGTGGTCATGATGGTCGTGGTTATAATGGTTGTAGTCTGATTGGTAGCGATTATTCCTATCATGGCCTCTTCCATGGCCTCCTCCTCTTTTTCCTCTAAAACCTCCTTGGTTATGGTTGTTGCTTCTACCATACGAGTTATCTTCTTTGGTTGATTTTGATGACTACAAGTTAGTGATTGCAATCAAGAATCAATAATTAGTTAAACACAAACCTGCTTCACTTTTGGTCTCTTTTGGGACAGCGTCCTCAACGTCCTTTTTTGCTGGGTTTTGCGCCTTTGGGACAGCTTTTGCAATGTCCTCTGCTTTTGCTTTCAAATCAATCATTGCAGCCTCTTTGGGACTGACTTTGATGAAAATATCAGCTCCTTCCTTGTGTTCCAAAGATTTGTTAGTTTCTTGATATTCATGATGTTCAGGAAGTCCTCCTCCAAAAGGAAATCTACAAGTGGGAACAGGGAAGGGAATAGTCGAGTGGTTTTTTGGGAAGACCTTCATAAGACTACGAATTGATATTTTGATATGTACTGTCTTGTCTTCACGCGGCATACGTGAGTAAAACAACCAGCTAGTATTAGATGAAGAACCACCTATGCTGGTTACGTCCGCACTTTCAAGCTGAGCGATTCCTGCATTCTCACGCTTGTCAAAATGCCAAACACCAAGAATCCCTTCAACAGACCTGACTACCCTACACCAGTAATGGGAATGGGCCCAGTATCCGCGTGAAATCATCACATATTCGACACCGCCAAGTTCCATTCGAGCTGGCCAATTTGTTTTGCCCTGGTACCTTTTACGCTCTTCCGAATCCATTCCAACAACACCATCTAAGAAGAAGTATAGATGTAAAGGTGCTGATTGGGAATCAATGACAATTTGAATGTTATTTTTCGCAAATGAAGGATTAGGAACAGGTTGTTCTGTTCTCTGCGCTTTTGGGTGACAATCTTCGCATAAAGCTCCTTCCTTTGTAAAGCCTTCAGTCATCCACATAGATATCACGTGGGAAACATCTGAGTATGCAATGTTGGCTGAGGTAAAGGTGGCCGGCAACAAATGAATTGTGGCTTGACGTTGGTTATTCACTCGGAGGTGATCTGAATTCCGAAGACAAGATATGGTCTTCACTATGTTGTGTTGAAATAATGGCCTGAGAGTACATTTGTTGTCTGCCATGTCTGCGAGTAATAGCTCAATAAAGCCATCAGCTGAACAGAAGACGTCGAGGGGGTATGAGCTGGATTTTTCCTGAACAGCTTTGTGGATAAGTTGCTGCCATCGGGTCGTGCTTTGGCCTTTGTTCTCACCCAAAATTTCAAAGTTGCAGTGAGCGGTGAAATGACGAGTAATAACATTGACTAGATTTGAGCTGTTGACAGTCAGGTACCTACTCCAAGAAGGTCCAAACAGCGCATAGAGGCACTTGAGGGTGGCAGACTGCCAACATCGGTTCCTGTTTCCTTTGGTAGTGCCAGCGGACTAAGATTGATATGTAGTGAGAGCGCTTCTGTTGATGTTCTGCGAACCCATTGGTCCACCCAACAAGGCTGTGGCGCTGGCCTGGGAAGGACCTGCCAATGGTTCTCGGACCTCGAGTTTCTTCTCTGAATCACAAGGAATTGGAGAATCACTGGAACCTCGCAGCTTCCTCTTCCGATCTTCTACTTCTGGAAATAGCTCTTTTTTGTTTGACTCGATTTGATTTTTTTTTTAGATTTTCTTCGATATGAACTTTTGTCTAAGAACACGATAATTTAATTGTTGATTTGTCAAAATTTGATAATGTGAGAAATGATCAAATGAGCCTCTGACAAGCTATGATCTAGGAGGTGTGCCATTATATCACCAGAACTCTGTGCACTGACAACGCAATACATGGCCCGAAAAGGAATTCCCTTTGAGCCTAAGTGCTTGTGCCGGAGGACCTGCTCAGTCCTTGGTAAAAAGCCTAATCCGTGGTCCTCTTTGTACGTCGCATAGCCAACACTCTCATTTGACCCGCGCATCAGCGTGTTGATGAAATTCTAACGGAAGCAGAAAATTCAAGTTAATTTACAAACACATAGAGGGCAAAGAGCACAGAGTTACATTCAAGGTCGATTAAGTGATCTCGGCTTCGCGTGAGTGAGTAAGTGAAAGAAAGTCTGGAAGGAAGCAAAACGGAGAAAACAAAATCAAGTATTTCTGAGAGCGAATCGGCTGCCGATGTCACCGCGAGGCTGATGAGGGTCCAGACCATGAGGAGAGAGCTGAAAAGTAAAACTTGACGAAAAAAAGGGTCAAAATCCTCGAAAAACTGCACAACACCAAACAGATGAGAATTAACTCATTGATCATTGATTGTAGGTTTTTTTTTTTGATTTTGAAATTTTGAATTTAGATTCGATGTCATCCTGATGAATTCGATCTTCGATTCCTTTGTTTGAAATTAGCTTTGATTTTGATTTTGATGATTTGATGACGGATGATGATTTCTTGAACCTTGATATATTGTATTTGCTTTTTCCAAGCTCTTGACCTGAAACGGGTTGAGAATTTCGCAGTCGTGTTGGTCATTAGTGAAAGGGGAAGATGGCTGAAGTTGGTATGGTGCGAACCAGTCGGTGATGTAACAATGAAGGATGTGTTGATGACGAGTGGGTGCTTTTGGCCAATAATTGGTTCGGTTACAGCCACCGGTACCGCAGGGATTCTTAAGCGGGATTTGGCCAAGTTCGGGTCTTGAATTTGAAAAAAAATCTTGGTGAAGTTGAGCGTGTATGTATGGGGACGAGTCGCTCTCAAATCTCCTCTCGACTCGAGTCAGCTCAACTCGTCAAGAACAATACAGTGTTCCGCAGTGCTTCAAACTCTGCACAATCAGAGTAGCGGCTTGTGAACCCTTGTCGACATATCCCACTAGGATAATAGAACATCAACCACCACGACACAAACATGTCAGTGAGAAACGTCCCCGGCGACAGACGACACCAAGGAAGTTTACCCCTGGTGTAGCTAATTTGATTCTTAGAATATTCAATGTTTAAATTCCAATTGATTTTGAAATATCTATTGAAAAATTTATGTAATATTCTAGCCTTGATTTTTTTCAATTGTAGAATATTGGAAAATATATTACGTAAAATATCTATAATCAATCTTTGGATCAATCGGTCTAGCCTTTCAATTCTGTCATAAATTTGATATTTGATATGAAATGGTTTACAGAAATCTATTGAAGATCAGGAATAAATATATGTATTGATGATGTAAAAAGTTTTTTCATTGCATTGGTTGCCACGAGCCAATCTCACATGATGAAATATGAAATTATATAATTTGTCATGCTTCAGTTGAGATGCGTCTATGAACGGCCATGGAGAGGTATAAAAGCCTCCAAGGAACCTAGCCAATTTCCGCCATTCTTCAAAAGCTTCTTAAATCCCTATAGCCAATATACTTGGAGACTGAATCTATTAGTACATTGTTTGTGATAACCTGTGGTGAATACTCTATATTCTTCTTCCCTTCACTTCATCATATATTGATATATTACTTCTTTTGATATGATCAGTCAAGCAAACTTTATAGCATATATATTTCAACATATCATGGTATCTATAGCTCTAAGAACAATAAACCACATACTACCATACGCCTTGCTGACACTTGTTTTGATATTTTCTCCACCCCTCCTCCCCCTCCCTCCCCTCTCTTTTTTTCATGAATTGATTTTGGTATCACTTAACTAATATTTCTTCTTTTTCTTCTGATACAATAGACTTCAACGTTGATATGATTTCAATCTACTCATATATATATGGAAGATAGGCAAATAACAAATACTTGCTTGCGATTACTATTATATCTTCATTTGCTTTGATAAAATCACTACCTTTCCTATCTTCTTATTTTTTTTACTTTATTTTCATTTTCAGTTTGTCTTTCATAATTGAAGATTGATATAGAACTCATGTGATTTTCCAATGCATATATTTTGAGTAGTTACTCTCTTGTTATCTTCTCAATATATTTTCTCCTATTTTCTTATTCTTAAGTAATCATGGATATCCTTATTAAATCTCTGCATATAATATATATAGATGTTCTTTATGATTATTTATCTTCTTTAATCAAAGCTACCTTCATTATCTTTCTTCTTTACATCATTTGCTTGGTCTTTGATTTTTTTAATTAAATGAGTCATGACTATAGATTAATATCTTATGCAATTTCCTTCATTTGAAGCCTCCGGCTTTCAAGCGGAACTCAGCACTTATATGTCTAGCCCTAAGGGGAGGCATAAATGCTGAGTATTTGCTTCAAGGTGGGGGGTTTTACCATTTACATTTATTTAACTAGACCTCAGGCGGGCAAGCCCGCCCTTATGCCCAATGAATTAAATTTACAGTGTGAACTTATGTACAACATAGGATGATGAACAATGTTCACTTTACTTCAGGCATAAATGTAGAAGGCTAATGTTCATGGATAAAATTTCATTCAGTGCATAGTAAGTGGCACAGGAACTTGAATCTTGGGAGCAATCCAATGTTCCTTTTTTAGTTACATTCTGAATTATGACCAGATGAGTTCAGTAGTTGCCAATGGGCAAACCTCTACTGTCCCATTCAAATGCCTTCAAAAAATAATCTGACAGCGGGGGTGTAAGGTTTCAGTTGAAACCTTCACTGGGGTCCGGAGGTTAATCCGGCACGACTCTCACGAGAGCGAAATAACTTGGAACTTTGTTATGTATTACGATCTGGTTCCAGAAAGTCCAAAGTAAGGCTCTCGGAGGAGTCAGTAACAAGAAATAATAAAAGAATAAAACAAATGATAACAAGTAGAAAAGCCATATGCTCACCTGGTTCCAGAAAGTCCAAAGTAAGGCTCTCGGAGGAGTGAGGACTTTCTGAAACCGGGCGTGGAGACAAAAGGTATAGTTCTGTTTATCTAATCCCATAATGTATAATCCCATGAACACCCGTCTGTACTTGTGTACTCCTTACACCCTTCCCTCCTAAAAACAAAAGTCTAACTGTCCGCAATAATTATCAAAGAGAAAAAAAAAACACGACAATTGGCATAACTCGCCCCTATAAATGTGACCATAACTCGTCCCTGAGAAAGCAGAAAAAATAGTAATTGAGAGAACTAAATAAAAATAAAAAAAAGAAGTCATAAGAAGATTTGAAGTCGTCAAAATGATAGAAATCTTTTTGATTTGTTCTTGAGGTCCTGAATTTGATGAGAAGGATATTTTTGTATTTTTTTGTTTGATATATAAGTTTAAATAAAAAATGAAACATGAATTGATGATGTCTTTAGTCTTTCGTGTCTTG